ACAATTTTTCACAGACCTAGAAAGAACAGTTCTCAACTTTATATGGAAAAACTAAAGACCCAGCACAGCCAAATCAACCCTGTGCAATAAAGGAACATCTGGAGGCATCACCATCCCTGACTGCAACCTCTATTACAGAGCTATAGTCCTGAAAACAGCTTGGTATTGGCACAAAATAGATAGGCAGACCAACGAAATCAAATTGAAATCCCTGATATTAACCCACTCACTTATGAACACCCAAAATTTTGACAAAGAAGCTAAAATTATACAATGGAAAAAAGAAAGCATCTTCAATAAATGGTGCTTGCACAACTGGTTGCTGGCATGTAGAAGACTGCAGACAGATTCATATCTATCTCCATGTTCAAAGTGTAAGTCCAAATGGATCAAAGATCTCAACATAAATCTAGCGACACTGAACCTCTTAGAAGAGAAAGTAGGTGCTACCATGGAATGCATTGGTACAGGAGACCACTTCCTGAAGATAACACCAGTAGCACAGACACTGAGGTCAACAATTAATAAATGGGACCTCCTGAAACTGAGAAGCTTATGTAAGGCAAAGGACACGTTCAACAAGACAAAACGGCAACCCTCAGAATGGGAAAAGGATATTCACCAACCTACATCTGACAGAGGGCTGTTTTCCAAAATATACAAAGAAATCAAGATCTAGTAACCAAAACACCATATAATCCAATTAAAAAGTGGGGTACAAAACTAAATAGAGTATTCTCAATAAAGAAATCTATAATAGCTGAAAGACACATAGGAAAGTACTCAACATCCTTAGCCAGTAGGGAAATGCAAACAAAAACAACTCAGAGATACCATATACTCTTTTCAGAATGGCTAAAATAAAAAAAAAAAACACCAATGTCAGTTTATGCTGGAGAGGAGTGAAGAAAAGGGAATGCTCCTCCACTGCTGGTGGGAGTGCCAACTCATACAGCCACTTTGGAAATCAGTATGGCAGTTCCTCAGGAAAATTGGAATCAGTCTACCTCAAGATCCAGCAATTCCCCTCTTTTGCATATACCCAAAAGATGCCTCTGGTAGTGAATCAGTATTTATCCCTAGTACATGAATGGACTTTGGGAGCCCCTTCCACATAGAGGGATACCCTCTCAGCCTAGACACACAGGGGAGGGTCTAGACCCTGCTCCAAATGATATGACAGACTTGAAGATCCCCCATAGAGGGCCTCACTCTCCCTGGGGAGCAGAAAGTGTATGGGATGGGGATAGGTAGGCAACAGGGGAGGAGGGGAGGGAGAGGGAACTGGGACTGACATGTAAAATAAGCTTGTTTCTTATTTAAATTAAAACAGGAAAATAATAAAATAAACTCACAGCATATGGAAAAATATCAAGGAAAAAGTTGAGTAACTGAAAAAAAGACTGAGATGAATAGACTCATCTTACATGGTTTATAGGTTCTAATTATGATAACTTAGTGGTACAGGAAAATTGAATCATTTCTCTGAATTCTAGTGAAAGAAAAAATGTCCTAGTAACTATCATCCTTAAAACCTAACAGCATACATTAGATAGTATCCCATGGTCCAAAAGACCAAACAATAAAAGTACTGTTCTCACTTCCCATATTGATGCTGAATTCCTTTGGGAATGAAAATCTAAAGTGTAACATTACAGTACTTCAAATGTTTTTTGAATCAGGTGCTTATTGTGTAGCAGTCCTATTCATCTTGATCTCATTATGAAATTCAGACTGGCCTTGAACTCTTGTTTGAGAATATGGTTTCCACTACCATACATAGCTTTAAAGAATTTTCTTTAAAATATATACAGACCAGGTGTGGTGGAACATACCTGTAGTGGCATCACTTAGGAGGTAGAAGCAGGAGAATCAGTAATCAAGGCCATATTCAACTATTTGGCCAGTACAAGACCAGCTTGGACTATACTAGACCTCCATATCCTAATACCAATTAAACAAACGAATAAATAAAATCTGTCTAAAAGCTAAACATGCCTTTAATCCAAACAATTGGGAAGCTGAAGTGTGCCTGTCAGTAGTTGGAGGTAGCCTGGGCTACATTGTCATCCTTTCTCAAAGAGCCAAGAAAGATGTTGAAAGTCTAGTAGATTTTCAACAGACTTCATCAGTATTTAAGACACACTTCCATGGTTTTTAAGTCAACTGACGCCTTTCACCACCCACCATTCCCTAATTCAGGAGGAAATTATTTTTGAAATGGATAGGTTTTCAACAGGGCTATGTAAAATGCAGTATATTTTTAAATCCCAACCCATACAGCACCAAGTGACATTTTCAGAAGTGACAGGATTAATACCTGCTAGAATTGTGTTTTATAAATTTTCTACATCCAGGATGACCTTATTTCAACAAAAATGTTCTTTATCTAAAATTCAATGTCAGTATTTTTAATATTAATATATAAATAATTTAATTTAACTTGGTAACATTGCTTACTATAAGCATTGTTTTGCCTTTATCTAAAACATAAACATCCAGGATATAAATCCATGTGAGCTACCATATATATGGTATATGTATACATACACAGACATCTGCCTAATTTGCTCTAAGTATATGATTCTTCACATGTATACTATGTAATTCATGTTCGCATAGTAGTAGGCTTGAATACTTAAAAGACAACAATTTTTGAAATTATGACTCATTTTTTCACTTCTATGTTTGTTTGTTTTTCCTTTCTAGAAGTTTTTCTTTAAAACAGAGGGATTGGAGGAAAGCCATTTGAAGTTATCGAATGCTTCAAGGAAATTAAATCTTGCCTCAATGCATTCTTTTGAAAAAATCTATACCTAACACATCTAAGACGAAGTATGACTTAGTTTTATTACTTTTGTGCTTCTGCAAAGTTCCACAATTAGTGCATTGGTGTAATTTATCCCTGTTTCATTATAGTTGATTGCCTAACTACCTGGAAACTAAACATGGCTTCTGGTATACTTTCCCTACCCTCTTTCTCTATGGTGTCAAGTTGGTGGACATTAAGCAAAAGTATTCATCATGGATAATATTCAAAGAAATAAACCTGAGTAAGATATATATATGTATGTATATACATATATATGTGCGTGTGTATGTGTGCATATAGACATATATATGAGTGTGTGTGTGTGTGTGTGTGGTGATAGTGGTGGTTCTACTCTGCCTCCTCAGCCATTTCCAATTTTAATCGGTTTGCTTTTATGCTGGACCATGAATGATAGGATAAATATCTAAATCCAATATTCAGCTAGTGTTTTACCAATTTGGGAAGCTAAATCATGTTATTTAATTTAAAGCATTAATAATTTCTCTTTTGAGATATGAAGTGTATGAAAGTGGCCCATGGTTGGTCTTACAAAGTTTTAGCAATCCACTTGTCGCATGGATAAGATGATAAGATAGGTAGAGATAAGAGGAAAAAAATAATGAAGGGAAAAAAATTACCAAATAAAATTAGATTAAATACTATTCTGTCATCAAGAGTAATTTCCTTCTATGTCTACAGGCAGTGGCACAAAAGTATGCATGATTACATCTCTGTGTGTACGAGTGTGTGCTTGCACATGTGTATGTATACAGGTGCACAGTAAAAGGTATATGTACGCGTATGGAGGCCACACAGCAGCTAAACATAGTCCACTTTTTTTTACCCTAGAATGCATCAAGTGAGATGTTCTGGATGGTCAGTAAACCTTAGGGTTCTCCCTTTCCAGTGCTGGTATTACAAATATATACCACTATGTTCAGCTTATAGCTTAATTTACATGGGTGTTTGAGGTCAAACTCTGGTTCTCATTTTGCGAAAGAAGCACTTTGCTGACTGACCTATCACCTGAGCCCCAGTAGCATCTTTTACTCCTTAATCATTATGTTATGGAGCATGACAGAGATTATCATGGTACACTTACATTAGAATAGAAAGCTCAACCCTTTGGTAGGAGACCAGAAATGTACTTTAGTATAAAAAGAAACCTGGAGATAGAGACACACCTGTAGACGGCCCAGAACACACCCAGACTATGATGTCAATCGCAAAGTAGCTCATAACTCCCTTGTCAGAAAGGTAAAAACAGGAAGTCTGATACAAAAAAGCAAAAAAGCCATGTAGCAATACAATTGCTCATGGAAGAAGAATGCCTCTTCCTGTATGGTTTCTTGCTGCTAAGTAGAAACATGTTGCATCTTAACTATCAGTGTTTTGCTGCTGTTCAAAAAATTCAAAAGGTTTCCATTTCTTGGGTTACATTTTCAGTAAAAACCAAGGTTAGCTCTTTGATCTTTAGTTATTTACCCACTTCATAAATATTAAGATAAACATTTTGAATTTGATTATGGAGACTTTCCCCCCATATTTCATCCTTCTTAGAACTTTCTGGTGCTTTTAGAAACTTGGTCCTGGCCATGCTTTACCACAAATTATTCTCAACATTTCAGACTCAAAAAATGAAAAAGTCAAAAAGTCCAAAGAGAAATGAAAGCCCTTGTAATTTTAATGTCTCCTATTGTGTTCCCTGATATGCCCATGCTTTTTATGGAAAGGAAAAGACAGCAGAGAATGTGTTTTGAAGCAGGAAAAAGGAGACGATAAGGAATATAAAACATAACGCAAAATACATATCAGTAAAAATGTAATTACAATGATATTATAAAGATGGAATAAAAAACAAACTGTAAGCAACCCCTCAACTACGTGTGATCAGCCCCCATGGTAAGGAATGACATGTGAGTGCCCGAAAAGGAGCCGCAGAACACCTTCCCGGTGGTGATGCTTAGTTGACAGGACAAGTGAGACCCAAACAACAGACAGAATGGTCCCAGCATGCTGGCTGCCTTTTTGTGTTTGAACAGTGGCCGTCAGTCCCAGCCTTGCAGGTAATGGAACCCAGCGGGAAGAAGGGGCGGGACCCAGCGGTGCAGCCTGAACTGAGAGCAAATTTAAATTACTGAGTTTTTCCCCCCCTTTTTTTATTTTTCTACTCTCTGCGACAAACTGAAAAGATTCCAGCACGCTAATTTAACCACCTGCTTCTTCTTCTCTGCCCCCCTCCCTGTCTCCCTGCTTCCAGGATAATTAAAAGAGAAACCTGTAAAAGCAACATTCCCGTGAGCGAGTTGGTGCTGCAACGTGCTGGTAAGAAAATGAATTTAATTTTTTAAATCTTTTTTTTCTTTTTTTGGATTTTCCTTTTTTTTTAAGAGCTGAAGGCTTTGTCTCTCTAATGCTGTCATAAGCGTGGCTTCCCTGCTGTGAAGGGTTAGCTTGTAATGAAAAGGTATAATTGCCTGATATATGACCTCCGCGTCATACTTATAACAGGAATAACCGTATCCCTATCAACCCTGATGATGCTTCTCTCTGCAAAGTGACTATTTGATGCTCAGCCACAACAAGGCTGAGATTGCTACACTGTGTCAACGAGCTGTTTGGTTGTGTGGGGTTGGAGTTTCAGTGTCCTGTCTGAAAGAAGTATTGACTTCCTCAAAGTTGCTGCCTGACAGGTGTTATTATTTATTCTAATATGACCCGTACCCATCATAATGTTTTGATGTTTACTTTTAAAATACTAAGTACGGGACCAAACTTCTTTTGTTTTATAGAAGAGTGTAATTATCAGAGACTTCTCTAGTCCAGATAATGAAAGACTAAAGCAAGTGCTCTGTGGAGTGGATTTCTTTAATCCCATTTATCTGTAACTAGGAAGGAGTTCATGAGACAGCTGTGGAGGACAGCCTATATCCTTTGGAGACCTTGAACTTGAGATGCCAACTTGATTCTTTAAAAGGACAATTTTTTAATTCAATCCAATTACACTCAACAAGTATTTCTCTACACTCTGACTGAAACTGCTATGGAGAATGCTGCTACCTGTTACTCTGTGATGAGGGAGAAATCAAAATACCTGGTGTAAATTTCCAGAGACCAGCTTCTCTCCCTGCCTTTAGAGCTGACCTCTCACAATCTTCCTAAGTGCAAGACTGTTAGCCACAGATTAAGGTTCAAGGTTAACTCTCCATAGACACAGGGCTTCCCTTCCTTCGCTGAGTGACCATTTGTACCTGTTGCCTAGACGTCTTAATTTAATACTATAGAGAAAAGAATGGAAATATTACCACTATTGTCACTATTATAAAAATGCTATGCATGTTATTTCAGGATACATTTCTGCGTAGTCAGTTTTGATCTTATGCAGATTTGCATGTCTGAAACAGAGGGACACATGAAAAGGGTTAGACTTTCTGAATCTGCCTTAGATCTGGGTCAAGAAATTTTAAAATTTGCTCTTAAAATGCGTATTAAACATCGAGGAGTAAAATTTGCTATCTGCTATAAACCACCATTGTGGTTTATAAGATGTAATGGATTTTACTTAGTTTTTTTAAATGGATAAGCAGAAATGGAATGGGAGATGTTCAGAGGCAGTAGTTTGCAACTGCCTACCAAATACTTTGCTAAAGAAAATGTTTCCTATGGATATTTGAAGGTTGTGTACCTTTGCATCTTAGAGAGAGTAGAACAGGGCATACTTTGGTCTCTGTAGCTATTCTGCTGAATTGTGTCATTCCTACATTTAACAGCTCTAAACCTTGTCACCCTTGGGTCTTCACCGATGCCCCAGGATCACTTGAAATGTCTAAAAAGACCTCAGAACATTAGGAAATGTCAACTGCTAAAATAATTTCTGCCTCTTTACAACAAGAGAAAATGCTGTGGGGTTAATAGTTCATTCTCTTTTTTAAAAAAATTTGTTCTTTTACAGTAACTGTCTGTTAGCCACGTTTCAGTAATAATTGGAATAAACAGTTGCTCAGTAACAAGTAACTAACTCCATAGTGACTTTCCATAGAATCCGTAATTTGAAATAGCTACCCAGAGCTGTCTGCAAGTCAAACAACAGTGTTTGTGTTTCTTAATAATGAAAACATTCATTTCTTTATAATTTTGCAATTCTCTTAATATTTTCAAATGTCCGAAGTCAGAGGCTTCTTTTCGTAAATTTTAAATTGAATGAACAATGCCACAAATGAAAATAAAGGTCTGTAGATCTCTTCAAAATTCTCTTTCTGGCACAAAATAAGAATAAGCTAGGATAAATTCAGCTTCCAGAACTTTTCATGTAAACAAGATTTGGAGCTAGCAATGCCATTCTGTGTGAAGGTTGCCATCAGATCTTACAGAATATCATGTAAAATCAGCGGTTTCATTGTGAGACTCATCACTGAACTACTAATCAACTCATGACTCTGTAGATTTCTGCAACTGAAGTGATGCTTTCCCCAGTTAAAGTAACATTGAAAAACACTGAAATCACATTTGTTCTACCCATTTCCCAACAGATAAAGAACCAATAATAGCTCCAAGTTCTGATCCCTAAACATAAATTATGTCAGAATGTCTTTTATTCTTTCCCACTGAAGGGCTATGACATGACAATTTCCAAGTTGAGATTCTTTCACAATAATTATGCATTTATCATTAGCTCTTGTGGTATGTGGGAATGCTTTACACCTTATAATTGCACAGGTGTTGAAGTAGAAAATATTTGATGAAGGGAATACATATTGTGACTTTTCACACCAACATACAGATGAAATTATCAGAGATGCCAGTGATATTTAAAAGTAGTATGAAAGCATAAGAATTGTGCCTTGTAGATATGATGGGATTTTGCTGGATTTATTGTTAAGGGTGGGCTGACCATCAACCAAACAAGCACTATCTCTGGGAGGAACAGAAAAAATGAAAAAGCTGCACCTTGGCCACTAAAAGAATACTAATGTAGTGAATGTTTACCTGGATAATCCCTAAAAGTAATATGATTAATTAGCCTTAATGAACTTAGCATTGTGTTAGGTGATATTAAAATTAGCATTCTCACTTCATTTCTCTTTCATAGTTGCTTGGATAGTTTTTCTACATATATGTATTCTCTTAGTATGTGAGTGTGTGTGTGTGTGTGTGTGTGTGTGTGTGTTTAAATTGCTGATTCAGGTTGTCTTACAACCTGCATTTACTTGATATAAAATAAAAGAAGAGATACAGAGCTAAATGGAAGAAAATATGAAGCCTCATCTCTATTCGACACATCAATTTTACTGTTTAATCTTCCAAAGCTTTGTCTCCTCATCTTTAAAAAAAGAGTCTAACTGATCACATCAAAATAGTATAATTTATTTATTTTATCCCTGATACAAATGGGTAATGTCAATGAAAGTAGATAAGCAGTTAAGGTAGATCTTGTGTCCTAGTGGTCCAAAAAAGGAGAATTCTCATTGAATCCGTTACGAACCTGACAGCCACATCTGCACTGTTTGATGCAGACTGACCCCCATCTCTTCTTGGTTTTGGACTCTTCCATGCCATTTCTGACACTGGAATAGCCCAAGGTACCACAGAAAATTGGTGCACCAGAAAACTGAGTGTAAACAAACAAGGGGTCCTAAATTCTGCTGGGATGGCTCTTACATATAACCCAAGGGGGGAGGACAGAATCTTAAATTTTCCCTATGTTTTTCAAATGTACTACAACTATTTGATAAGATCTCATTGATACATAGAACTGTGAAACCACCACAATCAAGAAGTAGAAAATGTACATTCATACAAAAGTTTCCTGGTATCCCTATACAGCCATTCTTCCCTCCATGACTAGCCTTGGCTTTTTTTCACTAGATTAATTTGCATTCTACATAATTATAGAAGACTGGAATCATACACTGTGCTTTATTGTGCCTTGCTTCTTTCATTTAACATAATGCTTTTGAGAGTTATACAGGGTTGTGCCAACCGGGGTCAAATAGCATTTCACTATATGGGTAAACAACATGTTTATTCATCTATTCACCTGTCAGTGGCTACTTGGATAGTTACAGCACAGAGACTTTTCATAGTCAAATTATAGAAGTATTCATGTGCAAGTTTTTATGTGAGTGTGGACACCCATTTTCCCAATGGAAATATCTGAAAATGAAAATACCGGGTCATACGGTGAGTGTGTATTTACCTATATAATTAAGAATATGAGCTGTTTTTTACGGTAGTTGTGGGACTGTGTGTTTCTATCAGTAGTATGGGAGAGTTCCAAGTGTAGAGTGTCTACCAATAGGTGGTGTTGTCAGTCTTTTGGATTTTAGCCATTCAAGAAAGTGTGTAGCAATACTTGACAGTGGTTTTAGTTAGCATTGCCCTGGAAACTACTGATGCTATGTTTCTTTGGATGAGTCCATTGCCTAACTTGGAAGTTTCTGATAAAGTCTTACATCCATTTTTTTAAATAATATTATGTAGATCCTCTTAATATTTTGTTGTTGGCATTATTTCTATATTCTGGATAGAAGCCTCTTTTCAGATATCTGCATGGGAAATACTTATCTCCCAGGGTATGATTTTTCCCATTTACTTTAATGATATATCTCAATGACAGTTTTATTTTGATTAATATAGAATTTATCAGTGTTCCACAATGCCAGCATAAGTTTGTAAGATAGAATTTCACGTAGCCCAGTTGAGTTCAATCTCCCTGTGTAGTTGAGGATGGCCTTGAACTTCTGAACCTACTTCAAAAACTGAAGGTTGGAATTACAGGATTGTGTCCAAAATAATGTTTGTATATCTCATGCTTTTTCTCTTTTCTCGACTTACATACAACAAAGAGTTTTCTTCTCAGCTATGATTTGTTTGTATGTTTTGAGACAGGATCTCTTTATAATACTAGATGTCCTGCAACTCAATAAGTAGACTAGGCTGGCCTCAATCTCTCAGAGATCTCCTTGCCTCTGCCACTCAGATGCTGGGACTAAAGTTGTACACCTGGCATTTCTCCCAAGCTTTTATCTGTAAATTTTATCATTTCATTTCTATCTGTAGATCTATCATGTGTTATGAATTACTATACTGAGGTTCATTTTTCCCCCTGTATGAATGGCTAACAGCTCCAGCACTACCAGTAGACAGTGTACTCTCCCCTCATTTAGTTACCTTACATTATTTGGCAAATCTCAGATAATGATGGTGTGGGTCAGTCATCATTGAGAATGTCTCTATCCCATAACATTTACTTATGTGCCTACCCTTCATTAATTCCATGTTGTGTTAATTGCCCTAGATGTATGGTTGAAATTTAAAAACAGATA